AAAACGCGTTTATTTTCCAGCCTAACACAGTGGATCTGTAAAGTATATTGCATTAGTGTATTTGATCCTGCGTACATGTTGTCTTCCAACTACGGAGCACTTAAGGGGCCCCGGCTCTATTATATGGTAGTATCATTTCATTTCACAACCCGAAGTCAGAACAAGGTGCAGAGTAGCCATGTATATCAGTCATTTATGCTAATATATATATATATATATATATATATATATATACATATATATATATATATATATATATATATATATATATATATATATATATATATATATATATATATATATATATATATATATATATATTACGCTGAAGGATTTCTTCCGTCACATTTTATTTGATGCAAAAGAAACACGGCCTTTTTTACTCCTTTATGTGCATCTTCTGTGGATTTCCTTAACACATTTGCGGTGCTTGCTTTCGCGATAATGTTGGGACACCCATTTTTTCTTCTTTCAGCAATCGCTGCACTATCTCGCGTTTTGAACGATGGTGCGACACTTGGGAGCGCAATCGTCCTATCATAGTCCTGTATCGACCCTCCCGATGAACGTCCGCTGTTTATTGTTCGAGTGCAAAAACTTGCCGCTTCTTGTTCAGTGAAGGCGTCTTGTGAAGTTGCAACATCCAGATCTCTTTCGTTTGTCTCCGCTTTTCGCTTCTTTGGTGTTCGACGTAGGGACCGAACTCGTCAAGCGGGATCTTTGCGAGGCTTCTGTACACTTGAAATCATGTAGGAAAGATATTTCTCGAAATAAGTAGGCGCGCGCAGTCAGGAATAAGTTTTCTGATGTGGAATTCAGGCACATATTCTTTGCGCAAGTGGCTGCTTCATACGACTGTCAATGCAGACTTGTCGTTGATGATGAGGTTGTCTCTCGCAATATTCTTTTGTCACTTGCCGCATGGCTCAGCATTGTTTGGAAATGGGTGAGAAGGAACACCAAGTGATTTCCCTGAACGAAACTTGCAATACGGAACCATGGTGGTCGGGTGGCCGTGACGGAACACAGCAATACACCTTAACGCAGCTAATATATATCCATGTGCGTAATGCGTGAACTGAAGGTTGTGCGACTGCCTTCTCGACTAAATAAATTACTGTTGACTGAACACTGACAAAGTGCTGAATGAAATGCAGCCGTGGTGTGTAAATGCCAGAATAAAGCGAGCCGCACTAGACCTAAGAGGAAATTGATGACAACCTGCTTGTATATAGGACCCTTCGGAAAAACGACGGCGGTGGCGTGCCTGGTAAAAAAAAAAGAAACCGCCACAAAAAGCGTACGTCCGCAAGGCTCCGTTCTTCACAACAACTTGCTTGTAGCAATAAGCCACAAGAGAATAATACAATTTTTTCAGAAAAACAGCTGCTTACTTGCCGTAATCTGTAGTGTTGTCAATTTCTATTTTTAAACATGTTGTTCTACGAACTGGAAAGATAGCGCAGAACTCATTAGCACTGCAGTTTTAGTTCATGGGCAAGCGGCTTGCGAGCGTACGCAGCTGCGTACTTTGTTTGCATTCTTCATGAACGTGGCTTACAGTACAAATTAATGCAAAAGGGTTTGGGGTCTCCAAACCCTGGAATGTTTACAGGTTGTTTTAACATCTTCACTAGTCACTATGTGGAGATTAACGTCCCAAAACCACCATATGATTATGAGAGACGCCGTAGAGGAGGGCTCCGGAATTTCGACCACCTGGGGTTCTTTAACGTGCATTCAAATCTGAGCACACGGGCTTACAACATTTCCGCCGCCATCAGAAATGCAGCCGCCGCAGCCGGGATTCAAACCCGCGACCTGCGGGTCAGCAGCCGAGTACCTTAGCCACTAGACCACCGCGGCGGGGCAGGTGTTAAAACCTTGACAAGGCACACCGTCACTCTCCGTGCGTGCCGTCCAAAGATGTTATTCAGCAGCAACGGCCCTCTCTCTCTTTTTTTTACTTTCTTTCTCCAAATACGCAGTTTTTTAGCCATTTGATATACAAAACACGTACGTGTTTTAAAAAGTGTCAGGCTGCAGACAGCAGCTATTACCCCTGAATACACTCCAAATGTATTTGGGAAAATGAAGAAAAATATAAAATAGCGAGAAAAGGGAAGGTGCGCTTAGTCATTGCGCTAGCAACCACTCTAAATTGTGACATCGTTGTCTGACGAGACCAAGAGCTAAAGGTGTCTAGTGCGGTCTTATTGGAGAACAGGTGCAGCATTGTTTATCTATCTTTCTGATCGTTGCCAGTGCTTTATACCTTCTGAATTACGCGTTTCATTAGCCAATTTTTCCGCATTTTCACTGAGTGTCAGCTTGTATTATCCTCGAGAACATACATACCTACATTAGGCGACAAGACGTCTGGTAATTTAGTTTTCTTTTAGTCAATGAGCCTTCCTCTATACTTGATTTCTTTAATAATCCCCCTTCCCCACTTCGTCGAGGAACCCTTATTCCACGGTTTTACATCGACAAACTCCCTTGTGCCGTGTGCGCGGCGCAGAAGATGCAAGGTCAGGGTCGCTGTGGCCGTACCGCCGACGGGTGGCGAATCATACTGAGAAACTCTCCCATTGCATTCGCGATAGGTGAGAAGGCCGTAAGGAAAGAAGCGCGCGCAGGTGCAGTCTAGCCCGGCCGTGGTCCGGGCGCACAGCGAGGGGAGCGTGTCGTCAACGTGCAACACCGGCGTGACTTACTTGGAACCGCGCCAACAACTGTGACGCGTGGCGCGTTCTTACGAAGGGACAGGGTTACATGGGATAGTCAAAGGGCTGCTTCGCATCTAATGAGCTTCGTGTCTAAGAACTAAAAGCAGTTAACGGTGGGTTGTCCAGATGTGAAAATTAGGCATTTTCCTCTTCTTCTGATTGATTTCATCACACAAGAGGTGAACTCATCCCAAACCGAGTTTGAGCCCGAAATTAAATAATCATCAACATATTTGAATATTTTGAATCCTTCTTATGCAAATCAGAATTGACAAGTCTCTCAACTTCACTCAAAATATTGTACTAAGAAGAATTCTCTTTTCTGGTTCTTGTGTTCCTTTCGTCTTTCTTCTCGTGTATGTGCTCTGAAGCTTCAGTATGGAGTCAAAAAGCTGCACGGTTCATTTCTTGGGACACTAAAGAAGCTAGAAACCACGCATGTATTCAAGGAGCTATGACGCCTGTTTGAACACTCAGTCCACAATGATCAACCCTCCAGAAACATTTAGTACGCACAATATACCTCTGTGGACTAAACGTTAGACCCCACATTTTCACCTTGACAGGAAAACTGTTTGTCTCTGCATTCACAACTTCACAGACAAGCAATTAGTCCAATGAGATACATGTGTGAGAACGCTCTATTCATTGCCAGATTAGATGACCTTGTCATTGTCCAAAGTTATTTTACCCCGTTATTCTCCTGAAGAAAACGTTTGAGCAGCCTCTTCGAGTGTATGAACATTTGCCGAGCCGCTGAGCGGATTCCTTATGGCGATTTCAAAGACGCGCACACGCGCATAGGTTCTTTTCATGACGTGCTTCATGACGTAAAAGAATGCTAAGCGAACACTATCTCAAATGTGGCGCAGTTATTACACAGTCGCTGTGGAGCTCATAGGCGACTGGATGTGACGTTACCTCAGCTGTTGCGGTATTTAGAGTCGGTGGCTCCCTCGCCGGCTTGGTGGCACTGGTGTACAGCTTTTGTAGTTGCTATGATAATGTCAGAGTGGGTTTTGCCCTGGAACGACAGCTGTGTTAATAGTTTGACTAAAAGCTCCGCGGTTAAACACGCAAACATACACGCGCACACATAGACACGCACGCACAGACAGTACTGTTTGTTTGCGGCAAGTGGCCATTTAAAAGTGTGTAAACACCAAAATGTGATGATACCTTGCCTACAGAATTGCTATAATAATAAATTTTCACTGGGACTTGAAGGCGTACAACTAAATAATGAAAATATGAAATGAAAGTAACCAAGTGGGTTTGCCTTTCTTGTCTTTGCGTGATAGCCTTCAGCAAAACATTACCTTATAGACCCACTGCTGTGACGTCAAAGTGCGTGCGGGAAATACTGATGAAGGTTTCTATGGATGCGTTGCAATAAAGTACACGGTAGTTTAAATTTACGCCTTTGAAATAGCAGCATGATTCATCACATGACCACAGTGATGCGGTAGCATAGATGCCGTTTTCGATTCGACGCGCGGCGTGGGGAGGAGGGGCATGAATAGGTTTATGTGTTGCTAGTAGAACAAATATTTGAACCTATTTTTTGTTTAATTTACCAGCGCGAAAAAAAAAAACGATGCTACGAGTATAGCTGCGTACTGGACGATGCTTCCTCACTTGAAACGGCACGTAGCTGAAGTGTCAACAGTACTGTGTCAATAATAAATCCAGGTTTTCAATTTTACACCAACGTAACTGTCGCAGGGAACGAATGACTTGCGATTCGGAATCCATAGAAACCATTGAAACAATTCACCAATATCAATTCAATCAGACAGAGTCGGTGATGAGGGGATGCGGCGATCAGCGGACGGTTGCGACGACACAAATATATCAGCTGTGTTCTGGTTAGCCGGTTACACGCCACGGTGCAAATAAACTCGTCATATTATGTGGTATCAAATGTGAGAGCTTTTGCTCGTCTAACAACGTTCAAGTACGCTCGCTTTACTGCATCCACGGGAAGCGACACCGTCGTTCCTTTACTCTGTTTGGTCTGTCAGGCTCAGTTCAGCTTTTTTGGCAGGAATTCCATTAACGGGGATAAAATTGTGCCTATGCTGGCAGCTATCGTATTCTCTCAATAAACAGCTTTTCACCCAAGAAAATGAAAGGATAAAATGAATTGGGTGACTACATTGCATTAAACGCTAAAATACAGATTGGCTACAATGAATTAGCGCTACAATGAGTTATGCAAACTTTGCTTCTAATACGATACGTGTCTATACTTTTTCTTCTTACTACCAGGTGATGGACGTGTTCGATCGAGCAGTGAGCATTTACACTTCCATCAACGACACCGATATGAAGTGTGCGACTGCCTTTCGGAAATACTTGGATCTTGAACTGAAGAAGTGCACCTACGTCTGGGAACTGAAAGGGCATGGTGGTTCTGCCAAGTGAGCTCCTCGTCAATGTCTATTATGAGTGTAGTATCTTGCTGGGTCACAATACTGATGCTAATAAGTGGTTAACCTCCCGGCCTTCTGTTTCAACTCTTTTTTTTTTACGCAACCGTCCTAAAAGAAGAATCACTGTAGCCCACTAATGCTTTTTATAAACAGCCCGCATAGTAAGTTATAAGGCGAATCGACAATCGTGGTCTCTTGAACTCGTTACATTTTGTACGAGTTTATCTGCTCATCATTTTCTAGCATTGGCCCCGGACCACCACTGATTAACTACAGGGTTCTATATAGTGATGCAGAGAAGTGTTACATAGAAGGGCAAATCTTCTGGAGAATAAGAACTTGGCTCTTCGCCATATTTTTAGTCTCTCCTTTTCTTTCACACTCTTCTTTCGCTACTCAGGTGTCAAGTAGTATAGATGTGTGAAACTCTAAACTGGTCAGATCCACCTTTCCTGGACCCGAGCGGTTTAGTTCGCCTGTACGACTCCACGTTGGGTATCAACCTTAAAAAGCTCAAAAGTCCCGCCATGACGTATGCTGTGACGTAGCACTAAATAAAATATGATCTAAATAAACGGTACACAAACCCTAAAACATTCGCTACACCGCAGTGCGCAGATAAGAGCGCGTTGTGTCGGTGCCAATGACAGCGACGACTGCCAATGGATTGACAGTTTTTCTAGGACATACCGTGCCAGACAGCTTGCCGCGTTTCGCACGAAATGTCTAGCTGTCGTAGAGACAGTCTTGGTGTATCAAATAAAGCGTGTTTGATTTTTATTAAAGACTATAGTCTTTCTTGGGCACCTTCGACGGAAAAATTTTGGTATGTCTGTTTGTCCGCCTTAACGCGACCTCAAACGGCACCAAACGGCCAGCCCAATCCGCAGCACCCGCCAATATTGCTCAAGGTTTAGCGTTCATAGTTGTGCAATTGTCAATTAAAAATCAAATATTGCGCACATCTGAGGTGCCATAACAACACGTACATGTTTTGTATGTCTGCCTTTATACTAGAAGAGGCAAACACATGTAAGTATGGAAAAAACTGTAGCCTTTATCGCGCTGCGCTGCCACTGATACGCGATGCCCCAGAAGGTGTTTCAAACGCTTCGCTACGACGACACGGTGGTGGCACCTGCCCGTCGCCTTGTCATTCTACACATAAGTACCTCCGAGACTGGCGCGCATCTTTCTCCGCTGTCGCTCACGCCTTCGTTTTCCAAGATAACTGCTAGATGGCACTCGTGCCTAACGTGCCTAGATGCGCTTGTTCACCTCAGTTGCACACTCGAGGCACTCTAACGCTTTTCCTTCAGAATATTATTCACCAATGTTCTTGCGCAGAACATCAAATAAACGTTTTGTTCACTCTCTCCAGGCGCTAGACTATCAACTTTCGACAACATTTATAGTGTAACATGTATATTCGGGCCAATTTTTTGTTTGTATTCAGTTCCTGCGCTGCCGTATTGGTGTGCATGTGATAGAATTATGCTGTTTTCAGGGTTCCAATTTCTACAAGCGGCAAGCATTATGCCTGAGTATTGATTGATACTTGAGGTTTAACGTCCCCAAACCACCATATGATTATGATTGATCGATTGATTTGTGGGGTTTAACGTCCCAAAACCACCATATGATTATAAGAGACGCCGTAGTGGAGGGCTCCGGAAATTTCGACCACCTGGGGTTCTTTAACATGCACCCAAATCTGAGCACACGGGCCTACAACATTTCCGCCTCCATGGGAAATGCAGCCGCCGCAGCCGGGATTCGAGCCCGCGACCTGCGGGTCAGCAGCCTAGTACCTTAGCCACTAGACCACACAGCGGGGCCACCATATGATTATGAGAGACGCCGTAGTCAAGGGTTCCGGAAATTCAGACCACCTGAGGTTCTTTAACGTGCACCCAAATCTGAGCACACGGGCCTACAGCCTTTTCGCACCCATCGCAAATGCAGCCGCCACAGCCAAGATTTCATCACACGACCTGCGGGTCAGCAAGAACAGGACATTGCGCTACGAACAGGGCATTGCGGCTTGTATAATAACCAATTTTGTGTGGGTGCTACTTACGTGATTCTCGCTTGCTCTTGAGTTACGTCAAATAAAATTGAATAACTTTGAGAACGCTAAAAATGAGAGTATAAAAGGAAGATAAAGATGTGTATTTTTTGTCATTTAGGTCTTGTAGAAACGTGTCTGCCACCTCCAGCTTGGCGCTATCGAAGAGATTGTGGCCCAAACTTACGCACGCAGTCAGGCTTGCTTTCCCACCACACCCTAATCTCGGTGTCGCACGGACATTTTTTCGCTCACAATCAAGACCAGTACAGATCGATTTGGTACTCAAGGCTGGTACGGATTGAGGCTACATACTCTTTTATTATTAACATTTCGGCGCTTACATTGTTCACTGTGTTCACTGCCAAAACGTTACCAAGAATGACCTCAAACCAACACGCTCTCCTTTCCATGCTTCTACAAGATAATCTTGTTAGCGTCACATTTATGTACACGTTCAAGAACCCCTGTCCGTTGAAATTTTCCAAAGCCCTCGGCTATACGGCATCCGTAATAACCGTGCCGTGACTTCGAGATTTTATGCCCCAAGTAATATTATTGCTGTAAGGAGAGCCGCAGCGCCGAACAGTGTAAATCGACTCATGTGTCATTGTATATCTACCTTGTTTTATTCAGATCTGTCTCTCCATCTCTCTCTCTTACACTCACACACACACACACACACACACACACACACACATGCACACGCACGCGCACGCACACGCGCACGCGCACACACACACACACACACACACACAAATGATTGATGAGAAGGATGCACGCACTCATGTGCTTATGAAAATATTTCGGCTGGGCGCAAGCCTGCGTTAGCATGAATGTACTACATGTCACCGCCTCTATATATGGGAAAGTAGACGTACACTAAGCGCGCTGCACCGCAATTAGAATGTATACGCTTCGAGAATGAATTATCAGCATATAGTGGAAAGAACACTCCACGGCGAATCACAACAGCAATAAGATGGTGATCGCGTTAGACAAGAGGCCTAGTACTTACACATAAGGCGCACGAGCCCAATTTCATCAATTCCGAAGAAACATTACATGTGAACGCAAAGCGAGCACCCAAACAATTTTTTTCCAGAGTCCACTCCGTGCCACGTATCGGCGTTGTAGGACTTTGCAAGCCATTTCCGGTTCCTCCAAAGTTCATAATATTGATTATATCCCACCCACTGGTAGCCAATAATGTTGCAAGCTTTAACACAAGGCATGCAATCAGATGAATAGCACTGCCAATGATTTCAGCCTGAAAATTTGTAGTGATTTTTCTTGTGAGACAGATAGTGTAGTTCATATGCTTGTGTGCTCCATTTGCAAGTTGCCTTATATTGCTCTAACCAACAATGCGTTTGGTACCAGTTCAATAATCACAACACGAATAGGCGCTCTATGCTTTATTGTCCGATATCTAGACACATTCCCACCACCGGGCATACCATCTAATCATTTAATACGATGATATTGAAAGTGGGATTCACTTCACAATATAAGCACAATTTAATACGAACTGTGCGACTAGTTTATAGTTCGCAAGTTGAAAGTTGTAGGAGCCTAAACGAAAACACAGGTGAACTTTTCAGCGTGCTTGCATATTATAGCAACGCTTCCTAGAATATGACTATAGAATACAATACATGCACAGTTCCTTGCTCCCACAGACTACCTATCTTTGTGTGGACAATCACTTGGTCAGAAATGTGTCCTTTTTGTTGTAGTTTTCGTATTATTTTGTTCGAAGAGATTCTCTGCTATGTACGTTTGCACGGTGCCGATAAATCTGATTAGTGTTATAAATATGTCTCAAAGTAACTCATTGCACAGAGGCGCAAGTTTTTGTCTAAAAGAATAAATTTCCGATGCGCATAGACACCTGTTGTGCTGTGCTGCGCCCTATAGTTTACATTTTCCCACCTCTACAGGGTGTTTTAGCTAAAACCACCGAGTAAATAAAAAAATTATACATGAGCACTACACGTCTTCGATTAGCGCATCATGTTTCTGAGTCATATAGAGCATGTTAGAATATTTTTCCAGTCGCCAAACCTAAACGATTCACAAGAACAGACTAATGAACATTGTAGTAGTGACTCTAGAGAAAAATCTTCAATTTAAAATTCGTAGCGCCTAAACAGAAATAATAAAATTTTAATTCTGACATAAGACTACTGCACTGCTTAATTTATGTCAGTCTTGGTTTTGTTTCGCGTAATTGAAACATTATCACATACATCACTGCCTCCAAACGGCGCTGCGTTTTAGTGTCTACAAAGACGGGTTCAAGGAATTATGAAAGACTGTTCACGAAATAAGATCACTTGAACAGACTATCGATGACTTCTAGGAATGTTAAGCAAATTCAAAATAGTTTTTATGCAAAATAAACATTGACAACAAAGCAGCCGCTATGTGCGAATGTGATGTGAAACCACAGGTAGAATTTGACGCAGCGCCGGCATTTTTTTTTCTTTCCAGTGATCAGTGAGCAGCGAAACATTGGTTGCAAAATTGAGGCAAACAAGCGACGCGTGCTTGATCTGTTCATTAGTGTGATAAGCCATCATTGGGTTCGGCTCACGAAGACTGCACGGAGAACATGATAAATAGTGAGCCTTCAACAGCGGGCTCATTAGGTCTATAGGCAGAACTTTATTGCAAAAGCGCTTTTTAACATTGGATTTTATTTCTCGTTTTTTTTTCATTCACTCTGTTGTATATTAGTGCTGCCATATGGGTACCTATTCCGCGTAAGTCAGCAGCAAAGACAACATGCATGTGTCCTTGCCTGAACTTAGCCTCTTAGGGATTACTCTTTGGACGGCGTAGAAAGAAAGAGAGAGAGAGATATGGTGTGAAGAAAGGCAGGGAGGTTAACCGGAGAGTAAATGTCTGGTTTGCT